GTTTAAGAAAAAGTATAGTGAAGTTTATTTAAATGGCCAAGAGTTTTTCTCCAAGGGTTTTACAATCTGTACAACATGCAACACCCTGTATTCTTAGATAAAAAGCACTTACTGATGCATAACATAACACAGTGTTTGTAATTTTGTTTTTTTTTATTACAGTGGCTAATGTGCAGGGTGATATCTGGAAAGAATAAACAAAATACAAAAGCTGGCTGTGTATCAGCTGCTAATTATACACATATGTATTTTCTAATGTAGAGTTAAATGAGTAGATATTACTCTCATACCTGTACGGTAAATATACAGTCAGATTATCTTAGCAAAAAGACTTGAAACCAGGAAAATAGCTAGCCTGGTTCTGTCCACACTCTGAAGCATGTCTAACGCTCACTAATTATCATGTTGTATCTCACTCGTTTAACCCCCACAAATACCAGACATTAAAAACAACTATTTTCCCTTGTCATGGGAGGGTATAGTATGTTCCAGGCTATTTCTTGTCCAGGAGCAGTAACTCCCTGGAATCTCAGCTCAGCTGCTAAAACCCAAGAAAGTCTGACATGTAATCCATCTAAGGATGGCACTTTTACAGTTTCTATTGGCAACTCAAAAAGATATAACATGTTAATTTGTGAGTTTTAGAGGTACTAGTAGGCAGATTTTGTCAACTGACAGAGCCAGGCTAACTGATCCCTCTGTTTTGGGTTAAGCTATGCTAATTGGATGCTAGCTGTAACTTCATATTTACTCACTTTGAGAGTAGTATCAATCTTTAAAATTTAACTATGTGGTAGAATCTAAATAGGCATATTCCCTAAAAGATCAAACAATTAATTTATACTAGTAAACAAAGGAATTTAAATGTATAACAGATAATTTAAATCTTACCTTACAGTGTGATACAGCAGATGGTTAAGGATGAAGCTGTTTTCTCCTGATACTGTTGTACCAAAGCAATATATTTTGTCTGGACAGTGAGCTTCACTGTTTTAGCTTCACTGAATTCTGGCTGACATATGTGCAGCATGGACAGTTTCCAGTTGCCTTAACCCAGCACATCTGTAGGCTTTAATTTGACTTCAGTAACACACACAGCCTCAGACACAGCTTATCTTGTGCCACCAGATACATATTTGGCAGAAATTTAATCAAGTGACACAGTGACATGGGGTTTCCTTATTCAGTTGGAGAACCGCCTGGCGTGCAAACAGAAGGGAATTTTTTTTTTCAACAGAAATAGTTCACAACTTTCTGCCAAAGTTCTGTAGTTTATGAACTGAAGAAGCATCTTTAATCTGCCAATACAAAGCCTCCAAAACTGCTACATTCATTTATACATTAAAAAAAAACCGACTGGTACACTTTCATCAGTGGCTTTGAAACATACTGCTGGTGGGTTTCGACCACATCCATCCTCAAAGGGGGAGGGTGGATCAGGGGAGGTTCAGGCTAAAGGCGTGCTCTGCCGGTGTAATCTCCCATCATCCTGTCCCCGGTGGATGCTGTAGATTAGCACGATAGTGTTGTTATAATTCAGGGGCAGTGTCTGTGTCACCCTCTCAAACATTGAAACGTGAAGCCTCCGATTCCAGGGAAACTGGAAGTTGGAGGAGTTTTACAAAGATGTGGTTGTGTGTGATAGATGTGATCTATCTGTTGCAGTGTTGATGAAATGATGGTATGATTACCCTGCACCAGGAACATCTGGTTTTAAGTGCTGACAGGATTTAAAATTCAATAAACAAACTCCAACTGTCAACTCATGTATAAACATCATTTTTATAGTAATAATATAGTGTGTTTTAGAGTCAGTTATCAAGGTTAGGCGTAATGAACTGGTTAGCTGCTGTCTGAAAGCTGAGTGGGCAGCAATCTAAGGCTTTTTTAGCCAGCAGCATTCATTATGGTGATGTAGGCCATGAGGAATGAGATGATGTGATTCTGCAGCCAGTCTACACTGTCAGGTCCTTTCAGTGTCTTTGTTAGGCCAAAGCGACTGTGATATTTAAATGTAGAGCCTAACTTGAGGTTCATACAAATGACAAAGTCTTATCTTGTGTTCCCAGCACTGATGTTTAGCAGCCAAGTGATGCACAGACACAGGGTTTCCTTATTCACTTCGAGTTTGTCCAGAGCATGTAAAATGTAATCAGACAACACACTTGCATACTTTCTTTGTGAGTGTTAAACGAGAAGAGCTTGTTAAGTGAGGAGCTTGAGTCGAGAGGTGATTAGTCTATTTGTACTCCATCAAAACTGGCTGTTGAATGATTGCTTTGGAAAGCCTCTCCCCTCAGACCTTTTTGACATCTGGTTACAGGTTCAATTATACTTTTATACACCAGCAGTAGGACATTCACACCCACTTCACCTTGACCGGCCAGCTGTGCAGCAGTGAGAAAGAGAGCTTTAACTTGTCACGCTAGCAGTAGTGAAAGAAGTACTCAGATTATTTTATTAAATAAAAGTAAAATGTCACTTAAGTAAAAATACAAACGTATTAGCAGAAAATATACTTAAAGTACCCAAAGTAAAAGTATCTGAACAGTTGGGCAGAGTGTGGTGGAGCGTAGCAGGTCGTAGTGGAACAGGAAGAGGGAACGCTGGGTGGAGCAGAGTGGGTTGATTTGGAGTTTTATGCTAGTGCTACCTTAAGAGACACACTGTAGCTTTAAAGTACAGTGCTCTTATTTAACTCTGGGAAAGAAATCAAACATTGTAAACATATTATCCCAAATGTGGAGAGTTCCTGTGAGATACATGTTGTGGCCCTTTACATAGACTCCAACATGACAATGGTAGAAACCTAGTTTGAATTTGCACATACTCTTCATTCTCATAATAGTCCTCTCTTTAAGAGTTTAAAGTTTTTTTTTACAATATCTATAACAATTCTAACAGTAACTATGGAGATAAAATACTATCAAAAATGTTACAAATGCGTGTGTAACGTTTTGTCTGTAACAAGCGATTTGTGTGTGTGTGTGTGTGTGTGTGTGTGTGTCATGAGGATCACAAATGCGTGCTGCGCAATCTGCACGTATAAAGCCATTTCTGTGTGTCGTCCTGTACAAACTGCACATAAAACACATTTTACAAATGCTTAAAATCGATTTTTTTTGCATGCAGTTCTTTAGAAAGTACGTACACATTGTTACCTACCCATGCGTGGATCGTCTAACACACATGAATTACCTTCCGCGCACACACGGATTGTTGAGTGTTTTTCCGCACTCTCAAAAGTCCACGACCCACGAATGCACGGTGCGTTTAAGGACACGTGGAAAACTCGGACATCTGAGTTTCCAAACCTGTTTCCCAAACAAAAGTATTTACACAACGCTATTCCAAATGGACATTAAATAAAATAAACAAAAATATCTAATACATAACACGTTTTAACAGAACATTCCAGTTGCCTGTAGTTTGTGGTGCATGTTCTAAATTTTTATATATTTAGAATTTAGAAGTTATGAAGCTAAGGTTAATGTTGTAGCCCTGCGGAGTTTATAGTTTTTCAGTAGAGCATATTTTAGTGATGCACATATTCCTCCCGACGAAGTTTGTTGTTGTTTTTCAGTGGGACATGTTTTAGTGATACACACCGCTAGTAAGTTTAGCATGAAAACAGTCACAGGTTGTCTCTCCTTCAAATCTATGTATCGAACCATCCACTTATCTAGCATAGCA